TTCTCTACCTGGAATTCTATCCTTCCCTCCTCTGCCTCCAGCAGCCTCCCTTCAAAGTCTATGCTCAGCCATTGACCACTTCAAAGTCAGATTCTTCAGGAAACCTCTGCTCCCCACTGCCACTTCTAGAATATAGGTTCCTCCTCAGGGCTTCTAGAACACTTTGTACTTCTTCCCTTACAGCATTTGCTTTAATAGTACATCTGCTCTTTTGATTTTTACTCCAAAAGAATGTAAGCTTTATAAGGACACACACTATATATATTCTTACTTTTATTGAATCTGTACATAGCATAAACATTTTATTATTTTTCCAGTACTGGCAACCAAACCCCAGTGCCTACTGCAAGGCAGTTCTGGATTATTGAATTATATCCCCAGTCCATTTTGTAGTTACCTAATTTTGAAAAAGTCTCTCATTAAGTTACCCAGGCAGGCCTTAAACTCTTTATGTAGACCTATAAGGTCTTGTGATCATCTACCTCAGATTCCTAAGTAGCTGGGATTACAGATGTGAGCCATAAAAGCTTTTTTTTTTTGTTTTACGAGACAGGGTTTCTCTGCATTGTTTTGGAGGCTGCCTGTGCAGCCCGGCCTCGAACTCACAGAGATCCACCTGCCTCTGCCTCCCGAGTGCTGGGATTAAAGGCGTGTGCCACCACCGCCCGGCAAGCTATAAAAGCTTTTATAAATATTAATTCATATTATCTTCTTAACACTCATATGAGGTGCTATTATTATCAGCATTGTATAGTTGATGAAGCTAGAACAGAGCAAGGTCAGTTAACATGACCAAAGTCGCGTGTTGGTTTATTGCAAAATTGTAATTATAACTCAAAAATCCAAGCTCTTATAGTTACAATTCTTCCATTGCCTTTCATATAGCAGGCCCATCCAAGAAATTTTAAATAAAACACAGAAAGAAATATTAAGTGAATAAAGATTGTAGAAATGACACAGTTCTGTGGGGAGGGGCAGTGGGAAGAAAAAAAATGTAGGATCTAATAAGTGAGACAGATTATGTTTATGTGCCAGCCATGATGAAAGAAACAAAACTTAGTCCATAGCATAGGATGACTCTAGAAGAAATGGTAGGTGATGAACCAGGATATATCTCAACAGTATAGTCCTGCCCTAGCATTTACTACTACATTTACTCACTAGTACAACAAAAAGTATGTTCATGAGGCAGGTGGGTAGGGTGGAGGAGCTCAGTAATGCCAGCAATGGCAGAATGTAGGACGGACCACCGGACTTGTTCAGAAACGGGCCACTGAGGGCATCTGTAAGCAGTTTCCATGGAGTGCTGGAGAAAGAATCCAGACAGTATGGGCTCATGGAATGTGAGGGTATGGAGAAAGCGAGGAGACTTTATTCCTCTCTGAGCCATAAAAAGCAGACTTAGGAGATGTGAAGTCAGATCTTCTCAATATGTGATGACTAGGGCATGCTTAATGGCAAGAGGATGGAATCTTTGGAAAGTGAGAAGTGAAACAGGTATCCTGGAACAAAGCAGTCACTTCTACGTGGCAGCAAGCACACTGTGGCCAAGCACATAAAATATAAGTGTGGCATAAGGCCTGCTAGCATTTGGGGAAGGGAACGAGCAATAGTAAGTTAGGAACTCCTTCCTCAGAAGCATCTGGCAGCACCAGACATGAACTAGGAAGATCTGGAATGAGGAAGTATGATGGGGAGGAAGTAGAATAATTTAGGGCCTATTAGTGAATAAAAAGCCGATAGTGAATGGAGATATGAGGAAAGAGGAAATGGTTTTCAAGAGCTCACAAGTTCAAAGGACATGAGGCAAGCTGCCAAGGTTATAATTGAAGGGTTCTGTGTGTAGAGGCCTTCTGGGGCCCAAATCCAAAAGGTCCTAGATCCAAAAGGACACTTTTCTCAGGTGGGGAGGGGACAATGATACAGGACTGGACAGCTCTAGGAAAGGGTATGCAACATAATGCATACCATGATGATTTTGATAATGTCTTTTAACAAGCATTTTTTGAGCAAGTACTTTGTACCAGGCATTACTCATAGGCTTTGCATGTTCTAAAAAAGTTTACACTCTAGTAGGAGGGACAAGTTGACCCAAGGCACTTAAACTGCATCGCAGGAGTGGATGGTCTGTAGCAGACAAAAATGCAGAAAGACCTCTTGGGTCATAGTATTGATGTGTGGTATAGAGATCTACACGTATGCCATAATAGAGCTCATACTGAGAAAGCCAGTTGGGGTTTTCGCTTAATCTGACTAAGTATATAAGTCCACTAAGTTGCTACTTTTCGTATATTCCCACTTCTGCATTTCATAATGACATGTGGACATTTTTCAGATTTTTAGGTTTATATCACTGCAGTTACATTTGAGCTTATGCCAAACAGAATAAATACCATGTGTTGTTTGAAGGAAAACCAACACATTATAAAGAGTTTGCTTGCCAGGGAGACTCTGTACCCTGCAGGACCTGCATGTCCTCAGCTGCTGGAGAATTGTGTGACTGAAGCTATTTGTGCTTTGCTAACGCTGGAAAGTCACTTTTGAAAACTTCCTGCAGTGTTCACCTTCGGGGGCTTCTTTGTAAGACTAATTGTGTAATATTTTAAAGAGACATTCTTTCTTTGTTGATTATAAAAGTAAGGCATAAGTAAAACTGGAAGAATAGTATAAGAGATCTTTTAAGATTTCTTTTTTATTTTGAAATCTTTGTATGTGTGTATTTCTGCATGTGGGTTTATTCATATGAGTGCAGCCATTCGAACCCCAGTAGCTGGAGTTACAAAATAGAGCACAGAGAATTTTGTATTGAGAATGCTATACCTTGAGAACCTTGTTAAAATCATTTTTTTATTTTCAAAGAATTGGAATTCCCAAGTGTCAGTTTTTGTTGGAGAAAGAGATGGCAGTAAATAAACCTGTCAAGTCCTAGGTGGATTGAGCAGAATTGATCAACATGATGCTACGTCACAGTCAGAAAAGACTTGAGGAATAGCTCTTGTTAAAAAAAATGGGCATTGGTGGCACACACCTTTAATCCCAGGGCTTGAGAGGCATAGGCAGGTGGATGTCTGTGAGTTTGAAACCAGCCTGATATACAAAAGCTAGTTCCAGGAAAGGCTCCAAAGCTACACAGAGAAACCCTGTCTGAACCCCCCCCCCCACAAAAAGATACTGTTTGCGAAATGGTGTACATTATGCCTCAATAGTCCTGTATACTAAGGAATAAATAATGTCACAATGAAATGTATTTCTCATGAATAGTACTGTAATTTATTCAAACAAAATATGATAAGTCAACACAATGCATTTATTTGGTTAGATGAGAGTGGCTTATTTACTATCATTATGTATGTATGTATGTATGTATGTGTGTGTATTTATTTATTTGGTTTTTTGAGACAGGGTTTCACTGTATTGTTTTGGAGGCTATCCTGGAACTCACTCACAGAGATCCGCCTACCTTTGCCTCCCGAGAGCTGGGATTAAAGGTGTGCGCCACCAACGCCCAGCTTATTATTATTATTTATAAATCGAATTTTAAAGAAAATTATAAGTTAGGCAAAACTGTTTTCTAGGTCATGCTCCCTCTTTCCCTAGAGTTGGGTAGAATTCTCAGATGGGCCCTAGGATATGCACCCGTGCTACATAATCTTTTTCCCTTAAGTATGGGTGGGACCTGTGACTTGCTTCTAGTCACTGGTAATGGTAATAGATGTCATTGTCATGATTATGTTACATTATATAAGGTTCTAAGTCAGCAGATTGGAGAGGGAGCTTTCCCTGCTGGCCCCAAAGAAGCAGCAGCTGCGTTGTGAACAGGTGATGGAGAGAGCTGTGTGGCAGGGAACATTAGCAGCAGGCAGATCTGTGGGTGGCCTTCAACCTCTATACATACAGTCACAATGAGATGAATTCTGCCAACAGCTTTCCTGAGCTTTACCAAGCTGATTCTTTTCAAGTTGAGCTCCCAACTATACGATGCTGATAATAATAGCACTTCATATGAGTGTTAAGAAGATAATATGAATTAATGTTTATAAAAGCTTTTATAGCTCGCCGGGCGGTGGTGGCGCATGCCTTTAATCCCAGCACTCGGGAGGCAGAGGCAGGTGGATCTCTGTTAGTTTGAGGCCACCCTGGTCTACAAGAACGAGTTCCAGGATAGTCTCAAAAGCCACAGAGAAACCCTGTCTCGAAAAACCAAAAAAAAAAAAAAATGTCAGCCAGGCATTGGTGGCTCATGCCTTTAATCCCAGAACTTGGGAGGTAGAGGCAGGCAGATCTTTGTGAGTTCGAGACTAGTCTGGTCTGCAAGAGCTAGTTCCAGTACAGCCTCCAAAGCTACACAGAGAAACCCTGTCTAAACCCCTCCACAAAAAATAAAATAAAAACAATGTCACAAAGTGGTTAGAGTATTACAGGCTGGCTAATGTTTCAAAGCTTGAGAAAGCCTGTCTTTACAAAAAGACATCGTAGGGGAACTGTTTCAGCCATAGCCAAACACAACTGAGCAGACAGATGAACACTGATCAGGAAGAGGGACTAATCTAGAGGAATTCAAGCAATTCTGACCAGGAAAGAAGTTTGCTGCTACTGAAATGTTTTGGTCTTAGCCATTGGTGGGATTGATTGATTAATTGAAGTTAGCACAATGTTTTCTGTGCAGCCTGCCTAAACATCTGTTTCTGTACAACTGTTGCTCAATTCTCTCTTCCTTTCGAATTACTATCTTTGAAGCACAAACGAAAATCCATCCAAATGACCAAACAAATTACCCTAACAGCTTCCGAATCCTTTAAAGGAGAATCTGAGCTTCAAGAGGGTCCTTTACTCTCCCGCCCCTTACCTCCAGCATGGGTTCAAACTTCAACTCTTAGGCTTGACCCAAGTCCCTCCCCTTTGCCTGTCATCTAATGAATATGCAAATCAAACATAATTGGCAGCCAATGGCGTGGGTTCTGGTCACATGGTGCTGATGGTAGGTGTGCAGACAGAAGTTGTGTCAGTGAACAGAGAGGGCTCTCTGTCTGGGGCGAGCGCTCTAGTGAGCGTGGACGGATGCTTAGGCAGTAGTCCTGGCAGCGGCAGCAGCGGCAGGCAGTGGTGGTGGCAGAAGAGGGGAAGGGAGACGGCCCCGAGACCTACACACACTTTCAAGTTCCCTTGGAGGGAGAGGAGTTGGGGCTGCAGAAAGAGGAGGCCAGGAGCGGTCCCATCTATCCCATTCCATCTCCCCCTTCTTCCTCTTGCTCCCTGGCTGTGCAAGAGTTCAGGATTTGGGTAGCCATACGTGGCAGCGAGGGCAAAGGGGACGGGAGAGTGGGGACCAGAACCAAAGGTGTAGTGGAAGATGCCCATCCTGCTGTTCCTCATAGATACGTCCGCCTCCATGAACCAGCGCACTGACCTGGGCACCTCCTATTTGGACATTGCCAAAGGCGCTGTGGAGTTATTCTTGAAGGTAAAAGGAGGGGAGAGGAGAGCTGGGGGTCGGTCCTGCGGGATGGGGGGTTTGGACTGAGGTGCTTCTGTAACGTTTGTGTCGCTTCCCCTCGTTCCCTACGCGATCCCTCCGTCATCCCTCGCCCCGCAGCTGCGAGCCCGAGATCCGGCCAGCCGCGGAGACAGGTACATGCTGGTCACCTACGATGAACCTCCGTACTGCATCAAGGTAAACAGGCCGGCGGGGGAGCGGCGGGCGGGAAGAGCGAGCGCGTCCCCCAGCCTGAGCTGCTGATCCCCTTTGCCTCCGCCCGTGCCGATCCTGCGTCGCCCTGCGGGACCCGCTTGGGTGCGGGGCGCCGAAGGCCGGGAGGAGCGGGGAGGTCAGCGGCGGCCGGGAGTCGCAGAGAGGGAGCCCAGATCGGGCAGCCCGTGTAGAGAAGGCACCGGAGGGCCAGCTCGTAGCGCGACGGCCGCAGTCGCCTCGGAAGATGGCGGACATTTTGCTTTTGTATGAGGCTGCCGGAGCAGGGTGAGGGCGCTGCTGAGATGGAAAGGAGGGAGGGGAGGAGGAGGGCTCAAGGCCCTTGGTGAGGCTGCGGCCCCTTCGCCTGGGACTCCGCCCCAGCGTGCTCCTAGCCCAGCGCGGGCTTTCCTGCCGCCCCGGCTCCTCCTCTGGACCCTCCTCCCATCCCTCGGCCCGCCCTGCCCTGGCTTCCTCTCCCTCCTCCCGCTCCCTCCTCCAGCACATCTTCCCCTCCTCTTCCTGCCCAGCGCAGGGCCGCGCTAGAGCGGGCCTCCCGGAGCTGCTCCTTTGCATTCGAGCCCCTGGGCCCCGTCCCCGTCCCCGTCCCCGCCCCGTCCCTCCCGCGCCCCGCCCCACCCCTCCCGCGCCACCACCCGTTTGGAAATGGTTAGGCTAAGCTATTCCCAGCTCCCAGACCCTGCATGCTCCTTTCTGCTCTCCGCTCAGCCAGGTTGATCCCTGCTCTCAGTTACCTTAGCGACTGTTGCTGTTTCATTGGAAATTCCTGCGAAGAAACCACCGAGTGTGCGGGGGGAGCGAAGGGGGGTGCCTGCGCAGAACCCTCTTAGGGAACAGGTTTAACAGGGGCCAGAGGTTTTCAGGGAGCTGGCCTACCTATTTGCATCCGAAATTAGGTTTGCTCATAGCTGCATAGGGATTTGCCGAGGGCACGATTGGACTCACAGCAGATGCACTAGACAGTTTCGATGATTTGATTCTCAGGGTCTGACCCTTAGCCTCTATGGGGTAGTTTTTTGTGTTCCCATGGTGAAGAGATAAAGAACTGGTTTGCCTGCAGTGGCTTGATAAGAGGAACTCAAACTGTGAAATCATCCTGCATAGGGATCGTGCTTGCATGTTGAAATTTTAGAAGGTTATTACCATTATCCCCGATGTCTTTTACTAGTGCGAGTGTCGGGTCTTCGGGTCTTCCGGTCTTCCGCACCTCCTTCCCACCTCCCTCCGGGTCTAAATCATCTAGGCAAATTAACAGGAGGTTCAGTCTGGATGTGTGACAAGCCTTGGTTACTGGGTTGTTTTTAATGAAAGATAGAGTGTTCTTTCATACTTAATGGAGGTGAAGAGACTTATTTTGTATGTCTCAGCTTTGATTAAAAGTTTAATTTGTTGGTTCTTCCTAACACTATTCTGGTTTCATTTCTTTGTTTTCAATTTTCACTTATCTACCCACCCCCAAGACGAGCTACTAGACATCTTGCAAATGCCATATGTTTTTAGAGGATGACAGTTTTCCTGGGCAGTCTGGGCTAACATAATTTGAGTACAGGGCTGGAGACCTAACTCTCAGTGATGGAGCACTTACAAATATGAAGTCTTGCTAACATTCTATCCTCACCATAGGAAAATAAAATAAGAGTCCTAGCCAGGCGTTGGTGGAGCACGCCTTTAATCCCAGCACTCGGGAGGCAGAGGCAGGCGGATCTCTGTGAGTTCCAGGCCAGCCTGGTCTACAGAGCAAGTTCCAGGACAGGCTCCAAAACAATACAGAGAAACCCTGTCTCGGAAAAAAAAATCCAGAGTCCAAATGTTTACATCCTTTGACTACTAATAACAGTAAGAGCCTGCCATTTGTAGTATGGCTGTTTGAAGATATAGTCTGTAATTTGAAGCAGTGGGGGGGACTAAACTACAAAACAGTGTACCTATATTTTTCTTTAAAGGTACAACTTACTGAGTGTTTTGTGAGGACTGAGGACAGTTCCTAAAATAGTTTTTGAGTTTATAGGAATTACATGACAGCCTGTTGTGGTATTGCATACCTTTAATCCCAGCATTAGAAGGCAGAGAGAGACCAGTATCTCTGAGTTTGAGGCCAGTCTTGTCTACCCAGGAAGTTCTAGGCCAGCCAGGGTTATATAGGGAGACAGTTTCTCAAAAAAGAAAGAAAGAGTTACATGACAGTTTACAGAATCTATTCCTTCGGAGGGGATAAAATGTTTTGTTTCACTGTAGCAGCAATGATTGCATCTTTAAGCCTAACTCAGGCCCTCCGAATGCTAGGCAAGCAAGCACTCTACCGCTGAGCTAAATCCCCAACCCCGTGCCACGTACTTTTTAGTGACTGCATATCTTAACCACTTGTTTACGAAGCTCTCAATACTTGTATGGAACAGAAGAAAATGTTGAGTGTCATTTTAGTGGAAATTTCATTTTAGCTCTTTATCCTACCACTTTACACTTTCCCCCTTAAACAAGACACACTCTACCTTTGATTTCTTTCCCCTGTAGATCAAATGTGAGGAGATACTTTGTGTAGAATGTTTAGTTATTAGCCACTTCATCTTAGTCTTTATGCCTTCCCAAGCCTTTTCAGATTCTTCATCTTATCCAGGTAAAAGGGAAAGTTAAGAATCTCACAACATTCTTGCCCTTTACCCACATTGCTATTGATCGACCGTATGTAGGGAAGAGTTTCCTGAATTTCTCTTTTGGTCAGCACCTTCTGCTAACCCAACCCTCTCTCTGTAATAATTTCACTTTTCTGCTTTTTAGGGTTGTAGCTTGCTTAGAAATCTGGAAATTTAAGAGCATCTGATGATATTTTTCACAAAGTTCAGGATAACATTTTCACTTGTTAGTGGCCGGGAACCCTCTAGATCTGTTTGCTCTCACACACGCTATCAAACAGGTCCATCTTTGCTTGTCAGCAGACATCTTAGTTCCTACTTGAAACTTCACTGTTCGCTAGGGGCCAGAGGTCCTTCTAGCAAAGTGATGGTTTGGCATCATTTTATTGGTAGCAAATTGTTCTGTAGAATAAATAAAGTAAGTGTTATTTTTCACTTTATCTAAGGCTGCAGAAACAGTGTAACTTTTCAGATCTGGATTATATCCAGCCCCAAATGTTTCCAAATGAATTGCATTCTGCCAGTAGGTCCTCTTCTGTTGTAACTGTAATAGGCATGAGTTGTGCATTTGCTTAGGAGATTTCTTTTTAACAGGCATGCAACTCTTCCCAGTATATCCACTTACAAGCTTTGACAATAACTCTTGGGAGAAGTTACTGCAACAGAAATTTTTCACTAATGTATGTTGTTTAGTATGTAAATACAGTATTTCCCCAAAGACTTAGTAGCTTTGCACTGTATATCTCTTGGCATATAGCTGTCTACTCTTTTAAAATCAGTCATACCTGTGTCTTGCAGCACCCTGTGTTTGGTTGGAATTAACCTTGACTTAGGGACCACAAACATTGTGTTATTTCTGTGTTAGTGTTGCTTTGTAAACATGTTTCATAAGTATTCACACTCTATATATACACATATATAGTGTATTTTCAGTGTACATAGTTAGAATACCCGTTTAGTATTTTATAATTTCCAGTGTATCCTTAGAAGATGAATATAGTATAGGGCTTTAAAAAAACGTTCTGTGAGGGGTTTGTGGCATAGTTCTTAATGGTCTTGGCTGAGATTCTGCTGTCTTGTATGTTTTGTTTTGTTATGAATCATAATTTCCTTTTATTCTGTGACTGGGAGAGGCAGGCTTGTCAGAAGAAAGTAAGTCATGAGCCTGAGCTCTCTCCTAGTAAAAGTACTCAAAAATGATTTCATACTTGAAGCCACTTTATTAAAATTATTTTTATTTAAAGGAGATTATTTTTACCATAGCACAGAATCACCTTTCTAGAAATAGTTGAAACGTGTATAGACAGTGGTCAGAAGTGTGTTATAAATAAGAAGAGATAGTGTTTCAAAGAAACACCCTAAAGTGGTCATTTGAAAAAGTGAGTGGTTCTCTTAGCCGTTGCTGTTTCACATTGTGGAACTCCTTTTACCTATTGGTATCTGCATGCCTTTGTCAATATGAGCCAGAAAGAGGAAGAATCCCAGCCTACAGACTGAGGAAGTAAATCTAAACTTTAAAAAAATGATACATGTAACAGACATTTATTAAAATTTTAACTAGGGCATTGGAGGAGCAACTCTTTGTGTGTGTGTGTGTGTGTGTGTGTGTGTGTGTGTGTGTGTGTATGTGTGTGTGTGTAGTCAGTACAGGGTTTCTCTGTGTAACAGTCCTGGCTTTCCTGGAACTCTGTAGACCAGGCTGGCCTCGAACTCACAGAGATCCTCCTGCCTCTGCCTCCCAAGTGCTGGGATTAAAGACATTCACCACCACTGCCCGGATTAAGGAGCATCTTTTAAGGGAGTCCTCTATTTTGGCTAAGACGCCATGGAAATGTTTTGGGGTGAAATAGCAACATAACTTCTAAGAGTCATCTTAGGCAATGCAAGGAAGGCAATTCCCAGCAACCACATGGCAGCTCACAACTGTCTGTAACTCCCAAGATCTGACACCCTCACTTAGACTTACACACAGGGAAAACTCCAATGTAGATAAAATAAGAATACATAAATAAAATTTAAAAAGCAGCACATTCACTTTGATGATGAATTGTTTTCCCCATTAGTTTTTTTGCCCCTCCCCTGAGGCAAGGTCTCTTTTTTTTTAAGATTTATTTATTTATTATGTATACAGTATTCTGGCCTGCAGGCCAGAAGAGGGGACCAGCTCTCATTACAGATGGTTGTGAGCCACCATGTGGTTGCTGGGAATTGAACTCAAGACCTCTGGAAGAACAGCCAGTGCTCTTAACCGCTGAGCCATCTCTCCAGCCCGAGGCAAGGTCTCTTTATGTTGCCCTGATTGTCTTATGTAGACCAGGCTGGCATTAAACTCAC